ACGTGAATATTTGCAATATTATTTAATGATGATATAATAATGTGAGTCATTGATAGTATCTAACTCAGTTCAATTTCATTAACTCGACAAGTATAACATTAAAATTGGAGACTTTATAGCAAAATATCAAATGTGAGGTCAAAAAATGAAGGTGAATTTCAAGGTCCCCGCCCACATCCTATTCCTATGATTGTAATTTGCACTTTTATAGTACCCTTGAATCAAGGACTGCTCAATAATTTTATGAATATATCTAATATTGTGAAGCTTATAGGCTGTAGTAAATTTATACTAGCATTTGGGCCATTTGTTCAGAGTTCTGGAGTTTTCCTATTTTATGTTTGTTGATTGCTACTAAGGCCCCCAGAGATGAGTGGTGAGGCTTGCATTTTAATCCTATATATTTTTGTTATAACATAGGAAGGAGAATTGGCCCTAAATCATGGTAATGGTAAAGTAGCAGAGAGTAGAAGCTATGACTCATAGTTCATTTGCTGAACCTCTGAAACAACATTTCATCAGGTAAACCAGGAAAACGACTTTTATTGGAAAGTCAAATAGAATACCAAGTTGGTTTTATATCATTTTTATACATCATATTTTATGGTATGAGGTCACAGTGCTTATTTGCTTTCAAATACCATAAACCATGTCATGTTAATTATAGTCAGTTTTGAGGTTATTTTTTTTTTTTTGCCTATGTATACATACATACTATGTATGATGTGTTGAGAGGCAGATGACAGATATCCAGGGCAGCTGTGTGAGCTAATGCATTGGCAAAGCTGATGGTCGCCAGTCACCTTTTCTGACTTTGAATAAAGGCCTATGATGGCTCCTAAGTGGCCTGAACTTTACTTTTGTGTTCTGGTGGTATGTGATGTGCGGACAACTCAACCTGTTTTACTGTGGAGAGCCATTCTTGCTTTTCACTCTCTGCAGAATGATGGGAATTTTTTGTTTGTTTGTTTTGTTTTTTTCAGTTTGAATTTGGAACAGATAATTTTGTATATCTGATGTTATCCTCCTTCTATATTATATTCTATGGCTAAGAAAGCATGTTTGTATTCAAAGGTTATTAATTCATAGATCTTTGTATTAACTAATCATTTCTGTTCATGAGCTGTTTGGGGTTAAGAAACTTCAGTAAAATTATATATAATTTAGTGTTTTTTTGCACACCAATGGATAACATCCAAATTGTTATGGTTCCATGTATCCTTCATTAATACTTTATAAATTCTTTGAGTATTCCTTGTCATGGGGATTGAGTGGCTGTGGAGACCTATTCTTCTTCTTCTAAGCATTTAGTTCCTGTCATTACCAGCTGAATTTATAGAAGCCTGCTATCATTTAGTATCTCAGTTTAGTAAGTTTACCTGTCAAATTTGACCTGAGATAAAAATGAATTCCATATGGGGAAAGGAAGGCCCAACACATGAGTAGGAAATGGAGAAACTAGGAATCTAAATATATGCTAAGATCTAGTTCCACCCATCCTACATGTTCTAACCTCACAGTGGAACTTAGTACACAAATTTTGTGGAGAATGACTATATAACATTGCTCTAAGAACAGAAGTAAAGGGGATCCAAATCAAGAAGTGCTTTGAGAAACTTCAGATTCCCAATGAATGGTTAAAACTGTGGTCAGGGCTTTAGAACTCTATAGAACGCAAGTTTCACGTTTTTTATCTGCTTCCATGGGCACTGGGGCAAGGCACTTAAACTCACTGAGAAAATTTCTCCTCTGTTTACTGTTCCTTGGATCATCCATATGTTTCCTTCCAACTCTAAGGATTCTCTGGTTCTATTATATTACTACAGGTCCTGAAAATGACACAGCCAGATGAGACCTCATTTAATGTTATTAGGCCTCATGGGAGCAGAGGAGAAAACCCTTAATTATTCTCAGAACAAATTATGTCTTTGGAGGCTCCTGTGGCTATTATATTCCAACAATAACAACAACAACAGCAATAACAACAACAACCACCACCACCCTCCAATAGTTTAAGGATGAGTCTTCAAGTTGCCATTAATAATACTGGTATTTCTCAAGTGATAGTTCTCTCCCCATTTTAATGTTTTTGTCTTTCATTCTTATATTTCTAACATCTATTAATTTCTTAATTATTTTTCAAATATTTCTTACTTGGGGCCTAAGTATATTTTAGTATATAACATGTATATATGTGAAGTTAACACTTAAGTATTCACTAACTTATTATTTTACATGACAAATATTTATTTATTCAATCAACAGATATTTACTGGGCATCTCATCTTTGTTGGGTAACCTACCAAATTCTAGGATTACAATCATGAAACATAAGCTTGGCTGTTGCCCAAATGACACTTATAGTTAATAGGATTATAGTACTCCATGTGTTGTTTTAATTTTGAGATGAATTTGAAAAGACTGTTAAATAATTAAGTTGCTTTTTATATATTTGTAATTTTTTCATTTTTTTTCAATGGTGAATAAGTAAGAATTGATGTGAAAAAATGGTCCCTATACTTCCCTGCACACCCTGGGTATCTAGAGTATGCCATTGAATATTGAGTCCTTTACAGTGTGTTTTTGTTGGGAAGGTTTCTTTCCACATATCACTATATACTTTTCCTTTGGAGGAAAAAACCTGAAAATTATAGGACTCATCAGAAACCCTAGCATGTTCACTTGTGTTGCAAAATCCCAATAAATACAGTATACAGACTACAACCTTTTAAAAGGTAAAATTACAGAGTTTTTTTTTTTGTTGTTGTTTTGTTTTGTTTAATTGTAGAGTTTTGTATCCCAGCTTCTAATTCATTTTTGTTTTTACTGCTTTAATTACATTTAACTGAAATTGTTTGTTGGGTTACAGACCAAGCTTGTGGTCTCTTAGCTTTCTTTTCACTTGCTGGCAGTGACTTGTAAGGGAGACTTAAGACAACCATGTTAAAAACATTTTAAAAAATGGTGTCAGAGGAATAAGAAAAATGCTTCTTTTCTGGTTCATCACTTCTAGTGCTCAGTCATTCCTCTTGCATTCCTCTGGACCCCCCACAGGCAGATTTGGCAATGACCTCTGTGGCTGCAGCTTCAGAAGAAAGCAAAATGATGTACTTTGGTCTTGGTGTCAGTTGGGAACCAAAAGAATTTGGTAAATTTTTAAGCCTATTTTTAAGCCATTTGCCCTTCCCCTCCTCGGCTTTCTTTTTTTCTTTCCAGTATGTCTTCTTATTTCACAATATTCCAAACTTCATATAGTACGTTTAAAATCTAAAAGTATATTCTGTGTTTTTCTCAGCATGTAACAATGAGCTTTAATTAACCTGCCATTAGCTTATGTAATTTTTTTTCTCCTTATTTCTAAAAAATTAGAAATAAGGATAAAAAAAAAGAATTGAGAAGATTAAGGTTTCTGTTGAAATGGAGCAAATTTGCTAGTCAAAAATCACATACACATATACACACAATTAGTTAACTAGTATAATATCTTAATTTCTCTTTCTTTTTTCTTGTCCTCTCTTTCAGTCCTCCTTATGGCCTACTTAGCCATATTTTCATTTTAAGTTTTTTTTCACCTATTGTAAGGTCTGTATGGCAACAAACTAAGAAGTTACTTTGTCTTTTACATGTGTATTATCAAAATACAAGTGAAATGGTTGTAACTATCCAGATGTTTTTATGCATTTTAAAATTCTTTTTTCATTTTGAATGTGTGGAAACATTAAAATACTTACAATATTGTTCAGGTAATTTATATCAAGAGAGAGGAATATATTCCTGACCAAGATGGGAAATTGCTATGTATTTCCGTAGGCTCTTTATTCTTTATTTTATTAATATAGAAAAAAAAAAAGCTCTGTTCCTCACCAATGGCAAAAACATCTAAAATCACCAAGTACTCACTAATCCCCCTGCCTAGCCACATATTTCCTTTTATGCTCTTCCAATTGTATTTCTGATTCTCCATTGTTCCTCCACTATTTCTCTTCAGAGTTGCACTCTTGGAAGGCAGATTTGTTTAACATGCTCTGCTGTGATGGGATTTAAACATGCTTAAAGGGAAATATGGAATTCAGTTATTAATAAGAATTTTTCTCTCCTTTGATGCTCATCTCTGGTCATATTGGTAACAAATGTTCTCCTTTAGGTCTTTGTAGAATTTTAAAACATTTTTTGGGAAAATATTAGCATATATTTTAAACACTTCTTATGAATCAGTCTTATTGAGGACTGAAAAAAGGATGAAGGATCAAGAATATTATTTCCAGATTCTGTGATTTGCATGTTTAAGCTCAAGGGAACCTTTTCTTTTTACTAGCTTTTTTTTTTTTTTTTTTAATTCACTATAGAACATTTTTCCTACCATAGATGCAAAACACCTACAAATAAATGAAATTTTTGCAACTCTCTGCTATTCCCCTTAGTGTGGAAATATTCCAGTTTTGGCTTCAATAAAACCATATCTTCTTTTGCTCTAACAGTGCTTCCTAATAATATAAAGACAAAACCAATAGTGGATATTTGTCTTTTCCCTCTTCCTTGTTTGAAAAATTTCTAACTTAGTTACTTTTAGCAGGATTCAGAACTTGCCTCTCATCATAGAGTCTAGGATGCTCCATTATTCAGTTTCCTATTGCCTTTGGCACAGGGCATGTGCTGAACCCAGCCGATCAGGTATGCCCACTCTAAACTCAAGGAGAAGCAGGTAGAATGGAGAACCCACTCAGTGTCCCAGTGATGACAAGAACATTTCTTTACATCACAGCAGTGATGACAGTTTCAGCAGTTACCCTGTCTTATTGACGTAGTGTTGGTGCAGTTAACTCTGCCAGCTAGCTGAGTGGTCCAGCAGAAGCAACAGCCTTGAATTTTTGGCATAGTTTTTGTTGTGATTAGGTAGACTCCTGTTTGCTCCTGGTTGTTTTCAAATACCTTTTTCTACCCTTCTCAAAGATTGTGGGAATATCCAACATTGTTTCAATTCCATTTCTGCTTAAAGTGGCCAGTGTCCATTTTGTTGTTTATTCTTTGCACCTTAGAATTCTGATTGATATGGAATTTGACACCGTAAATAGAATTGCAGAGAAATGGAACCAGAAAAGTGGGATTGGTTGTCTAGCTTAGTTACAGCTGAAAGTAGTGAAAAATCCAGCTGTGCAAGGGATGAGTTTCTGGCATACCATGACATTAGGTGGCAAATCAGCAAATAAATCATCTGTGAACTTCTAGAATGAAGTGCTCATTGAAGGGAAGGCTTTTAGGAATCATTCAGGGCTTCCATAAAACAATCATGAAGGGATGAGGATGTGAAGCACTGGAGTGACATGGTGGCTGCTTCTCACAGTACCAGATGGCTGTAAAAAAGGAAATATAAACTCAAATAACTAAAAATTTCTATCTAAGCATGAATTTAAAAATAGAGACTTTCTATGACTGCATAAAAAGAATCTTTTGTATAATTTAGGATAGAAAAGGCTGCCAAGTGCAGTTATGCATGTTGCCAAATTATGGTGTCAGTAAGATTCATATCAGGTCCCTTATGTTCAAGTTTGTGCACTTAGAAAAATAATTGAGCCTGAAAACTAGAATGAGGGGTTATGGTAGGATTTGGTGAACCCAAAATATCCCAGAGTCCATCAAGTTACCCTTGCCAGCAGAAGCAGCACTTGCCCCTCTTTGATGAAATTACTCCTGTCTTGATGGAAATTTCTATTTCTTGGTAGAGTTGCATCATTAAAGTCCATTCTCTTTATGCTTCTTATGCTCCATTTCCAGATATATAACTAAACTTAGATTCCAGCATGCTTTAAAATGACAGAGTCAAAGCTAGGAGGAGATACCATATGTTGATAAAAAGTTGCAAGACTTTGCCAATTAATATTGACCAAAAAATGGGGAATATGTGTGAGAATGGAATTTGAAGGTTCTGGGTCAAGTAAAGAAAAAACACAATTTTATATGGATTGAATTTATTGTTATGGAGTACTTAACTGGATGTTCTGTGTTCAATATACTAGCACAAATAGATGGCATGGATTCTAATTGTTTGTTTGATTTAACCAAAATTTGAATCATCCCCCAAATGAGATACTAAATATACCTTTGTATATTATAGGAACAAAGAATCTAAACATTAAGGATAAGAATATTGCAAGGATATATTATGGGTATAGAGAGCCATATTCCATCTGTATGCCTTGAGTGGGTTCTGATAGAGATTCACTAAAACAAAAACTTGAAAGATTAAGTTATGAGAGGCCATTAGCATTCTTTGAGGGATAAAAGAACTGTTCTTCACTAGCCAATGATGCTGATGTTAGATGCTACAGTTGAAATGAAGCTCCTTGATGTTATTAGGCATTTTAGGAGGATGGGATAATGAAATTTAAGTAACAGCACCTTTCTCTCAGAAGACTGGGTGGCATAGCTGCCATAATAGGCAGAAGGATGGATGTTTTAGTGGGAATAACCAGCAGGGATCCTTGGAAATGGCTCCCAATAATGGGATCTCTGTGACTGAAACAGGTAGGCACTATTTCATTTTTATTAAAAAAAAAAAAATCCAAACCAAACAAAACTCAAAAACCAAAAACCCAAACCAACTCTGTCTTGATGGAAACTCATTGCAGTGCCAATGGGTTACTCTGTTGTTAAGAGTTTAAGAGTAGGGCTGGGGATGTAGCTCAGCTGGTAGAGTGCTTGCCTTGCATGCACAAGGCCCTGGTTTTAAATCCCCAGGATTTAAAAAAAAAAAAAAGTTTAATAAGAGTTTTCATCTCTTGTGTAGTCTATATGACAACAAACTAGTGTTAATTGAAGATGCTGCATCCAGCATCTAACCTTTTGATATCTATAACTTAAATATGAAATGTTGTGTTAAAATAGATTGGAATGACAGTGACAATGTTTTTAGTTTTGAAACAGAATATTATTTGAATTCATATATTTTTAAAATTATAAGTATATTTAAAGATGTTTCCACTTTACTGGTTTCACAGTTATATATTCCTCATTTTAATATACTAAGTTAGTTATAGTATAGCAATACATTATGGATTAATAGACTCATGGCAATCTATAAATGCAAAATTTTCAGGTTAGTCATGAAAAAATCTCTTGGATTAATTAATTAACTAGAAAATTCAGTTCAAAAATGCATTTTTATAATTTCGAAAACTAGATTAAGTTAATCAATTGTCATGACATTTTAAAAGGATAGCCTATGTGGGGAAGATTTTGGACATTAAAAATGGCAATTATAGTACAGGAGTTTACATCCAGCAAATGGAAGCATATATCTGAGTCTATTTCAGTTTTCATTTGTGCTTTTGATTTAAGCTATCACCCTTAAGTTAATTTTTATTACCTGATTTTGGGAAAATTGTGTTTCTACTCCATATACTTGAGGTTAAAACATTAATTTGAAATTTGATTAAAAGTAAACAAAGCCTGTTCATTATTTTGTTGGACTTGTAGAGACAGTTGTTTTCTGTATTACCCAATCAAAAATTACAAAGATTTGAAGCTCAATCTCCCTTTTCTCAGCCAGTATATTTTGGCATATTCAATTATGTAATGTTTCCAATAACTACTGTATTAAATATCTGTTGCACTTGTCTGTCTTTGTGCAATCCCTAAGTGTACAATATACACTTATATTAAATACGTGACTCAACCCCTGTCTTGTGCACAGGCCTGAGCTCATTCTGGCTCATCATGGAAATCAAAAGAAAAAACATTAACATGACATGATTAAAAAATGTTTATATGAAAGGTACAGATCCTATTTTTTATTTGAAGTCTTTATTTACTAATAAAGAATCTTTTAAGAAGACCTTTATCCTATAAATTCTTATGAAAAGAAATGGTTTTCTTCAATGTTTGGCTTTCTGTATAAATATGCAGCAGGTTTCCACAATTAAACCTAACCACAATAAAAAAAACTGAATATTATTCTGTTTTCATAGTAGACCAGATTAAACCTTTGTTCCTGACTTGTAGTGAATATCACAGTGATAGGTCCATAATTCAATTGGCCTTGGGATTTTTGTAAATCTAAAGGATTTTTTTCCTTGGACAGTTGGCATGGAGTTTGCAGAGGTGTCTTTTTAACATCACCTTATCCTGAGGTGGGTTGAGTCATTGCCTGTAGAAAGTGACATGGAGAGTACCAGAAATACCTGTCCTTTCAACCAATTTGTTTATCTGTTTAGCCTTGCTGTAATCTGAAATTCCGCATGTTGGGGAATTCTTTAGCGGTTAAAGCATTATCTGTTCTGCCTGAATCATAAGCAAAGTTTCATTAATTGATTAAATCATTATGTTTCAAAGTCATGAGGATTCCAAAGCAGGCCTTGGAGGGAACAGGACTCAGGGGAGAGAAAAGAGGTTGGGCCATGTCCTGGGACCACTAGTCAGTAAGGGAATTGACTAAGACCACTGAGTTTATAGAGGTATAATATCACTGAAGATGGTGGAAGAGCACCCAAAGAAGGCTCTGTGTAGTTGATAAAACTTTGCCATGTGTCCATCTTTTCCAAGACTCTGTGCCATGTATGGGACACAGAGATCAGGAGGACCTGATGCCATCCTTGAGAAACTTAATATCTAAGCAGTGAAGGTAGATGAATAAGGTGCTGTGATAGTGTAACTTGAGGTTCCAGATTTGAGGGACACAGTGGCTGGTTGTCACCAACTGGAGAGGGTCTCTTGTTCATACATTCACCTCAGGTTTATTAGGTGAAAAGAGGCTTTCAGTATAGACCACTCTTGGGTGTGGAATAAAGTGTATGGTTCCATGCTGCTGTCAGGGTGCTCACCCTGGACAATGAAGCTTCACCTACACTTTCAGCATCTGTGTTAAGACAGTTATGAGTATTAAAATGTCCTGGCTTTGTATTTTGGCTTCACCTTTTTAAATTAAGGGCCTTGCACTAGTTCTCTTTTCAGTGTAGGAAGTGATTTTCCAGCCCCCCCCCCCCCTTGGGTAGGTGGGAGAATTGAAGGGAATAATGTGTGTCGACCTTCTTGATACATGGCAGAATGGACAGCCCTGTCCATTCCAGGACCTAACCCAGTGTACCTGACTAATGGCATGGGCTTGTTTGGACACTTGTCTAATATAGAACTTGTTGACAAGGAGGGAAGTAGAGGATTTGTCTCTTTTTGTTTTATAGCTTTTTGCAGTATGTGAAAGGAAAATATTTAAATGTATCATGAGATAATATGCATTAAGCTATTTAGATACTTCTGAATTTGTTTCTAATTCACGGGTGGCTTTTTTCAGTTTGATACCTAGAGAATTTAACTCCCATAATTTGGATTAAACATAACTTGAAACTTGTTATTTGAAGTATATTCGTATTCTCAACAGTAGCATGATTTCACTTCGAGATGGGCAAATGGAAAAGGACAGTTCACTGAGCAGCAATATTAATAGGGAGCTTCATGTTTATGTACTGACGTCAGGCTTTTTGTGCTGTACAGAATGTACAGGGGCAATTAGATGGTTTCAGATACATGTCTAGACAGGGCAAAGCTTCAGGAGCACTTGCTTAGCCCTGGGAAATATATAGGTCACTAATTTGTGACCAGAAAGAGCTTTCCTTGATTAATGAATTAAATGTGGTAGATTTATGGTGCTAGGTTTACACCAAATAGGAAAGTTAGATCTGATGAAATTTGACAGGACTAACAGTTTGTAGAACTCGAGTAAGACTAACGCTGCCCAGCATTGCCTGATTTGAAGTACTAAAAGGGATCTAAATGACTTTCTGCCATGCAGTCATGGGGCCTAGATTTCATTCTTAGAATTACCTTTTTGGGCTATATCATTCTGATTCAAAAGGGCTCCGGTAAAAAGTGAGATTTTTCCTTGAAAGAGTTATACATTGACCTGGATTACTTAGTTTTAGGGAGAATAATGAGGAAACATCTTTATAGATAAGTTTTTTTTAAAATATATTTTTTAGTTGTAGGTGGACACAATACCCACAATACCTTTTATTTTATTTTTATGTGGTGCTGAGGATCAAACCCAGTGCCTCATGCTTGCTAGGCAAGCGCTCTAACACTGAGCCACAACCCCAACCATATAGATAAATTTTGATGTGAGGGTAATAGAATATTTTTTGGTTTGGAATTGAGTATACCCAACTCAATTCCAAACTCAGGAGAGTGTGCTCAGGTGGAGAGGGCTGTGGGGACAGATGCCTTAGGGAAGGGATCAGAGAAAGGAGGGTAAAAGGGACTTCATATCTGTGTGCATGAAGCACCATGTCCCTGTGCACCATGGTACTCACAAAAACTCTGACATTGATTATTTTGGGCAAAGGCAAGAGTTTCTAGAAACCAGCCCCATTCTGGTGAGTTTCCAGTCACTAAAGTACTTTCTGGTACTGAAGACTTAATAGTGTCTGCTTGAAGTGTGGTGATAGAGATTCATATTTCAGCCTTTTCCTTGTGCTTGCTCTCTGTTGGCATCTAATGGCCTCTGTAGCCTCCAGCCCCCCAAATCTTCTAGAGGATAATGGAAATTTACTCATTGCAAATTCTAAGATTATTTGTAAAGCTCCTTTCCTGGTACCCCAGAGAGAATCTCAAAGGGGCCAATTGTACTTGGAAAGTACAGATTTCAATCTGTAACTCCCTGAGACCTTGCCTGGTCATTTCTATTTCTGGCTTCAGGTGAAGCCTTGTGCTTGTAGCCTGGTTTTGTGAAAATTCCACTTACTCTGCACTAGGTTCAGTGCTAGCAGCTTTACACATGTATCTCTTGCTCATTGCAAATTGTTACTTGTTAGTGTTTTTACAACTAGTTGTTAGAAGTCAGCTAGTTGCTAGTATTTCTGTTTTGCCAATTATAAGTCTGAGGCTTTGTGAGGTCAAGTAATTTGACTAATATCAAGCAGCTGAGGAGTGAGAGGGCTGCCATTCAAATTTAGCAATGTCAGCTTCCTTCTGCTACTCTATGCTAATGTTAAGGGTATTCCCTCTGTCTATGGGACTCACTACTCTTTTCAAAAAGATAGTGTGTAAACCTAAGGACCTGGAGTGCTTTCCCAAAAGGCCATGGGAATACTACTGGCCATGGGAAAACAACATGGAGAAAGGATGCTGGAGACACATCTAAGATGTGGAGGAGTGTCACATCTGCATAGCTGGCCTTGCCTCATTCTGATTTCTCAGCAGCACTTAAGGTGTGCTTGGACTCCACTTCCTTCAGACTTAAGGCTTAGGCTTGCATGCTGGCTCCTGCCTCAGAATGAGAGCAGGCCTCCTGTTTTTGCAGTGGACACACCTTAGAGACTGGACAACCTGTGGTTACCTCTTTTACATCTCATTCTAGTCATTCTTTTTCTGTTTATCTTGACACACCAACCTAAGTTATGACCTTGACTGTCTCCCCATGGTTCCATTTCATATTCTCATTCCAACTATGCTGCTTCTGGATACCCTGGGAAAATGTCCTTCCAGAGCTCCAAATGATTTTCTTCTTTGATCCTAGCCTATTGCTCTGTCACTGAGGTTCCAACAATGCCAGTAGGAACAAGAAATCAAGCCAAGAGCCCAAGGATGCTGACGCATCACTCTGCTTCCAACACCCTTGGAGATGTTAGGCATGGCTCCACAGTCCTTGCATCCAGCCAGTGCCACCATGTGAGCCTTGTTGACCAGTATGGGTGCAGCCATTGGCTCTGTACTCCCAGACCCACCCTGAACAGCTCAAGCTGCCACCCTCAAAGCCCTGCCAGGACTTGGAAATTGTCACTTATTGTGACAGTCTTAGTTTGGAACAGCAGAGCCTAAGTCAAAAAAGTTTACTTGCTACCACTTAAATGGCTAAAGCAACAATGAAGAAAAACAAGTGGGGCAAAGAAAAAGGCAAAACAAATATGAGAGCTGAATTATTGATAGGTGCATTATTGATATTGATATACCTGCTGGCAAGTATAGCTGATTGATTTTGTGAGACATCTTCAGAGAGACACTATAAAAGTAACTGCATTTTTGGGCAGTACTTCCAGGGGGAGGAAGGGAAAGAAATTTATTCACTGGTTCCCTTTTCCTTGACCAAAGTCTTGCCCCATGGATCATTAATTCTTCTGTACTGATTATCACACACTAGTGGCTAGCTGACCATCTCACACCCACCAATAATGCATACCTTAGCAGCAATAGAAAAGTTCTGGGTGGGAGGTAAGAGGGGTGTGCTGTGCCATGGGTGACATAGGGTCTGAGACAGTGGCTTTAGTATACCTGGGTTCACAGCATTGAGAGTAGGACAAGCCATGTTAGATCTGCCCAGCATAGCAGCAAGAAAGTACACAGATCTGGGTGATGGAAAAAAACTGAGTCTGGTCATTGTTGGAGCATTTTAATAGTAGTATAGTTTGGCTCCTGGATTTATTCTTGCTGTGAGGAAACTTCTTGGGAATACTAAGAAGAACTCAGTTTCCTCTTCCAGTTTCTAGGGTTGAGCATTACTCTGAGAGTCTCTTGTGTGGATAGAATACAGCTGAGTCTTTTCTCTGATTGGAGAAGAGGCACCCATATAATGTTATAATAGAGAGATGTGTCATCTCACAACAAGAGGCAGAGGAGCTGTTCTTGGAGCAACTGATGTATGTGGCACCGATCATCTCTTAGGGGCCTTCACCCATGCAAATGATTTTTATAAATGATACTAGCCAGTACACCAACAACAAAGTGAGTAGCGGGATTAATTGATATGAAATAACATATTAGATATACTTCCATGGGGTGAGGTGTGCTGGGGAGGTCCCTGTGACCATACTAACTGCTCTTGCCTCTTAATGCAAATCGACATACCTTATCTCTTGGCCAAGCTTGCTTTTCTGGGAATATGGGTTAGGGGTGCCAGGCTCCCTCCATTGCTTAGCTAGAGCCTAAGCCTAATTTTACCAAAGGAGGTGATAGACATGTGACAAAAGGCCCATTCCGGTGACTTGCTCAGAACAAAGAAGATCTTGCTGTTTCTACTACTAGAAAACAGCCACTGCTGGCAATCCTCAAATGGTAATTGTTGCACAAAATGGAAAACTTCAAGTTCCTTTTCACAGTACCCTGTTAGAATCAAAATACTAAAGTTGGTCTAGCTCTCCTCTGCACACAGCCGCAGCCTCTGAATTGTCATTAACAAAAGGCAAATTCCTGGCCCCTGTTGAAATTGCAGAATTGGGAATCCTACTTCCTGCTTCTCATTCCTCCCATCCATGCCCATCCTTACCTTACATACTGGGGGTCCTGATGGCTGCCTTTCTCTCTCATCCTTGTAGATAGAAACAGAAATCATGGATTCTTGATGCCATGGATCCAGCCTGGCATCTGGGCTGGAGGAAAAGAACCACCACAGAATTCTCAGGGGCACAGTATTCTCCCACCAGGCAAACCTATTAGCCAAATTCCTCCCTCCACCTGGCCCAGGCAAGGGTTGTTTCTGGTTCTGCAGAGTCGCTTTGACATGCTAGGTGCATAAAAGTGAGCTTTCAATACCACAACAATATTTATAGCCTCAATTCAAGAGTCCTTGCCTTGACCTACTTTGCACTCAGTGGTATTCTTTCTTCAGATCCTCCCAGCTTCTGACCTAGGGACTGACTCATTTTCCTGTTTACAGTCTTGCCTCTACCCTCACTCCTAATGTTTTGCATAGTTTCTCTGGCAATGACCTTTGGTTTCCTTTTGACTAGAGTTCAGGTTCTCTTCTGGCCAGATAGCCTCTGACTGTTCTGGTTAAAAATATGGCAGAGATCATCCATGTCTCCTGAGATCCTTTGTCCCTGATGTTACCTCCTAAGAGCAGTGCACCTGCCAGACTTACCTTTATTGATGGGGTGGCCTTAGGATAAGAGAAGAAGGTGGAAGAATAAGTAGGTAGATGAGGCAGAGAGAGAGCTCGAAGTAAAAGAATAAGCCCATTCCTTCTATGAATCCTTAGTGTCATTGGTGCAGACATTAAAATGAACATTAACTATTTTACCTCCATGGTTTTTAGATTTGTTTAAAAGAGCCTCGAAAGTGACATGAAACTCTTTTGTCTGTATGAGCTTATTGACATTTTGACTGAGCATTGCTGTTCTGTAGTTTAACTGAAATATTTTTATTCTACCCATGAGTGAATATTTTCTGACAAGTAATTCTACTTTTGTATCTCAATTAACAATTCAATGAGGGGACCCATGCTCACAGTAGGCCCTGATCCACTGTTCCACCAATGGGGCAGACACCCACCAGAGCCTAGCCTTTGGCATATGACTGCCCCTTCCGTCCAGCATACTACCGCGGGAATCAAGCCTAGCCCAGATCTGTCCACACTGACTTGCGCAGGACCCAAGTCCAGGGTAGGTCTGAGTTTGCCAACCCCCTACCTGGGAGCCTAAGCCTAACCCACTTCCATCTTGGGACACTGCAGTCATCACCATAGCCTTCCTCACACATAGCCCCTAACTTTTTGACAACAGACAGAGCCTACAAGTAGCTGCATCTCAGAGCAGGCATCCCAAAGGGAATATGAGATCCTCTCTTGCAGCCTCATCTCTGTAAGACATTGCTTCCATCTTGGGCCACCTTAACTATTATCTCAAATTACCTCGGCTATTGCTGCCACCAACGTTGGATACAGTAGCATACACTTAGGGACACCAGCAAGGTCTGGAAGCCCAGCATCAAGGTGAGGTACAGACAATCTTCATGGGTACTACAAGAATTGGATTAACAAAAAAAAGACCCAACAGTATGCTGCCTCCAAGAGACTCATCTCATAGGAAAAGACATCCATAGACTGAAGGTGAAGGGTTGGGAAAAATCATACCACTCACATGGACTGCAGAAGCAAGCAGAGGTTTCCATCCTCATGTCAACTAAAGTAGACTTCAAACTAAAGTTAATCACAAAGGATAAAGAAGGACACTACATACTGCTCAAGGGAACCATACACCAACAAGTCTATAAACAATTATAAATATATATGCCCCAAACAATGGAGTGTCTACGTTCATCAAACAAACTCTTCTCAAGTTCAAGAGTCAAATAAACCACAACACAATAATTTTGGGTGACTTTAACACACATCTTTCATCACTACATAGATCTTCCAAATAAAAGCTGAACAAAGAATCTATAGAACTCAATAATACAATAAATAACTTAGACTAAATTGACATATATAGAATATTTCATCCTTCAATGAGAGAATATACTTTTTTCTTAGTAGCACATGGATCCTTCTCTAAAATAGACCATATACTATGCCACAAAGCAGCTATTAGCAAATATAAAAAAGTAGAGGTACTACCCTGCATTCTATCAGATCATAATGGAATGAAATTAGAAATCAATGATAAAATAAGGAATAAAATCCACTCCAACACCTGGAAACTAAATAATATGCTACTGATTGAATAATGGGTTACAGAAGACATCAAGGAGGAGATCAAAAAGTT